GGAACTTGTTTTTTATCTACTCTAACACTGATAAAACTGTATTTAGACCATTCACATTTAAAGTGATTATTGATATAGTTGGTTTAATATTTCTCACTCTTACAGGAGTCCATGTTTATTATAACTGTTTTCTATTTGTTGCACTTGTTTTTTGTTTGTTTGTTTTCTTCTTTTATTGTCTTCTCTGGAATATCAGTTATGCATCTATTAATTTTTTTAACAATTATTTGTTGTTATAGAGTTTGCAATATGCATTTATAATTAATCTAAGTCCACTTTCAAGTAACATTATACTGCTTCATAATGTAGCGCAGTTACCTTATAACAGAGTATTCCCAATTCCTCCCTCCCATCCCTTAAAACATTGCTGCCATTTATTTCACTTATCCATATGCTATAATTACCCAGTACATTGTTACTATTATTACTTTGAACAGCTATCTGTTAAATCAATTAAGAAAAAATAAAAACAAAAGATTTTATTTTACCTTCACTTATTCCTTCTCCTATGCTCTTCCTTTCTTTATGTAGATCCAAATTCTGACCTGTGTCAGTTTCCTTCTCCCTGAAGAACTTCTTTTAACATGTCCTGCATTCATTTCCAGTGGGCCAGTTGAAGATACAGTCCTTCAGTTTTTGTCTGTCTGAGAAAGTGTTTATTTCTCTTTCACTTGTGAAAGATAATTTTGCTGGATATAAAATTTCAGGTGGATGGGTTTTTCCTTCATCACTTTCAATATTTCACTTCACTCTTTTCTTGTTTGCATGGTTTTTGAAGAGAAGTCCAATGTAATTCTTATCCATGTTCATCTATAGGTAAAGCGTCCCTACACCTCCTCTCCTGGCTGCTTTCAAGATTTTCTCCTTGCCTTTGGTTTTCTGAAGTTTGAATATGATAAACCTATGTGCAAATTTTTTCAGTATATGTTGCTTTATGATCTCTGGAATTTCTAGATCTGTGGTTTGCTATCTGTCAATAACTTTGGAAAATTGTCAGTGATTATTACTTCAGATATTTTTTGTGCTCTGTTCTTGCTCTCTCTTCTCCTTCTGGTATTCCAGTTATGTATATATTATACCATTTGAAATTGTCCCACATTTCTTGGATATTCTATTCTTTTTTTGTTCTTGCATTTCAGTTTGGGAAATTTCTATCATCAAATCTTCAAGCTGATTTGATTCTTTCTGCAGTTGTGTTCCGTCTACTGATGAGCGCATCAAAGGCACTCCTCATTTCTGTTACAGTGCTTTTGATTTCTAGCATTTCCTTTTAATTCTTGCTTAAAGTTTCTATCTCTCTGCTTACATTACCTGTTTTTGCCTATTGTCAACTTTTTCCATGAGAACCCTTAACATATTAATCATAGTTATTTTAAGTTCCTTGTCTGTAATTCCAAATATATGATATATTTGAGTCTGGTTCTGATGCTTGCTCTGTCTCTTCAGACTCTACCTTTTCTCACCTTTTAGTATGCCTTGTAATATTTTGTTGAAAGCACGGCCCCTGGATTCTCTATCCGCCTAGAACTGAAACAATTTCCGAGGCCAACTCTTCAGACAAGGATTGGACTGGACTGTGGGACATAAAGTGATACTCACGAGGAGTGTGCCTCTTAGCTCAAGTATATACAAGAGACTAAATGGGCAGCTTCTGTCTGGAGGTGAGATGGGAATGCAGAGAGGGTTAGGAGCTGGTTGAACAGACATGGGGAATCAGGGGCGAAAAGGAGAAGTGTGCTGTCACAGCATGGGGAGAGCAATTAGGGTCACATAACAACGTATGTATAAGTTTTTGTATGGGAAACTAACTTGAAATGTAAACTTCATTTAAACTACAACAATAAACAAAAAAAAATTTAAAAAGGCAAAAAAAAAGAATTGCTAGCTTTTTATTTGTTTTCCCTTTTTATTGTGATGTAGCTTACATAAAGTACACAAATCTTAAGTGTACAGATTAATAATTTTTTCACATATGTAATCACACCAGATCAATATATATAGAATGTTTCCAGCACCTCAGAAAGCTACCTCATGCCCTCTGCTAGTTAAACCCATCCCAAAGGTAACCATTATTATCACTTTGTTTTTAACTTTTCTCTGTCTCAGTCCACAAGGTAGTTGGGACTGATAGAATGCCCAAAGAAATCAAGGCAGTCGGAAGTACAGTAGATACTTAAATAACTCATGGTTAGAAGAAAAACCTGGTGAAGGCAGTGACTTTCAAATATTTCTTGAACATAACTAACATTAAAAAACAAAATTTTCAATGTCATGACCTAGTAGATACATACACTTACCCCTCCACACTTGTAAATGGATCAAAGAGGAGCAGTATACAGAGTGAAAAACATGGCCACCAAGAACTCCACTGTGAACATCTCTTCCATTTAAGAAACCAGCCAGAATGAAACTAGAATCTTAGCTCCAATTCCAAATTCCTGGGAAAGGGATTTATTGTTCCAGCTTCAGTAAGGTGTCTGCTCCTGGACCAGTTCACTGTGGTCAGGAGTGTGGGTTCATGCCTTTACAAAGCAACTGCCGGAGGCTCATAACTGTTAGCATGTAATTTCCAGAAAAGGAATGGAGTCCTGGAAGATAACCTAATAGGTCTCCATTAGTGTGCCAAACCTGAATTTGATTGTCAGGTTCTCCATATGCTTGCTTTTTAATTAAAATGTTGATAATGAATTTAATAAAAATAACACTTTCTTTAGCTATAATTGACATACAATAAACACATACACACATATTTAAAGAGTACAATATGATAAGTTTTCACATATGTATATACCAATGAAACCAGCACCACAATCAGATAATGAATATATCCATCACCCCCGAGTTTCATGCTGCTTTGTAGTCCCTCTCTCTGCGCTCCCTTCCCCAACTAGCTATTATGCTTAATTCCTCAAAGAGATCCATATAAATACAAACTTGATTTGTGAATGTGAGCTTTTCTCCCACTACATTTTTAAATTGACAATTGCTGTTTAAAAACCAAAACCAAACCATTGCCATCAAGTCGAGTCTGACTCATAGGAAAGCTATTTTTCTAGCTACCTTATTGCACTTGTTTCAATTCATTCTCTTGAGTTTTCCGAGTAAGCAACCATACTACCTGAAAATAATTTTTCCTTTTTTTTTTCATATATATACATATGCACACACACACATACATTTATACTGGGTTTTTTTTGTTTGGTTTTACTGGTTCAGTTAGGATCTCAGGAAAAATGTGAGCTAGTAGCAGCAGGCCTGCTCCTAACAACTTCAGGGCCTAGGGCAAAAGTACAAAAAGAGGTCCACACACCGTATGTCTAAATATTTAAAGATTATAAATCAAGCTAACAAACAGATTAAAAAAAAAAAAAGTTCTAACCTCCTATCTTGACACATATAATTTATAGCCAACATATGTACAGCTATCTAGAAGGCTAAGTTCAAGGCCACCTCCCTATTGTACTTTAGGTAGCTTTATTCAGAACTGAACTCCAATGACCTTTACTTCAAAAGATGTTGTCTAATTGACCCTTGCATTAAAAAAAAAAAAAAAAAAACCTTATGGTATGGCCTAATAGTTTAATTTTTCTCCTTAGAATTAAAATTTTATAAGAACTTCATTCCTAGGGATAATTGCAAAACGAAGAATCAAACATCAGCATTCATTATGCCCCAAAGAAAATTGACATTGCAAAGTAGATTTTGCAGTTTTTTTAAAAATTGCCTTTTGAGAACTTCTTGGAATCTACAGGCCCCTATTCTTTCTTGATGTACAATTTCTACTTCCACTCCTGCTCCACTGAAGACCCTAAGAATTGAGTTGCCTTAGCTATGGTTTGAACATTCTTATGGCTTCTGAAGACAACACTGGCAGTGGATAAATTCTAAGCAAGTCATGTGAATATTTGCAGACACAAATAAAAAAGGGCTGGATCTGAAAGTTATGCCATCCCAGAGAGGAGGACCTATGACTTGGACAGGGCTTCAAAGCCAACCACCTTCTGTTTATGTGGTAGCAGCTGGTCTAACTGGAATAGCTTGGGAAGAAAATCAGGAAATCCGGTTGAAGTTCCGGTTCTGTCACTAACTGGCTGAACTGGAGTTCTTTATTTAAACTCTTTGCTGCGCCCCAGTGTCATTATGTATGAAGTTTGGGATAAGGACACTGCCTTAAGCACTCCACCAGTTTGGGGAGGAAATCACTTGCCTGAGCTTCAATTTCTGCAGCTGTTACAGTTAAGGTAGGCACCTGTGCCCTTTGCATCTCACAGGTTTTGGGACGGAGGGGGAAGGCACAACCTTTCTGAGCTTCAGTTTCTACATCTGTAAAGCGGAGCTAGGAACACGTGGACAGCCCACCTATGAGATTCTCGTTACAACGGAAGAAAATGGACAGAAAAACTTGGCGAAATGTAGAGGGCTATTCAAATGTGAATTATCTCACATTCAAAATATGACAAACAAACAGACCTGAAAAGCCTTTATGAGTTTCTTTCCTTCTGGCTCCAATGTCACAACCCCACAAAGTAAATCAAGATCATATTTAAAAATTTTTTTTAAATAATTATATTTTTGTTGAGAATATACACAGCAGAACATACACCAATTCAACACTTCCTACATGTATAATTGCTTTTTAATTAAATGTTGATCATGAATTTCATAATAACACTTCAATTAGCTATAATTGACATATATAAGCACACATATTTAGAGAATACAAATTGCTAAGTTTTGACATATGTATACAACCATGTCACAATTCAGTGACATTGACTTTTTTTCTTTTTAAGACTCTAATATAGTTGTGGGTTCTCTGTTGGCTGCTTCAACGAAGAAACTCTCAGAACGGCTAATAATCCGACTTCTGGCCAAAGTAGGGACGGTCCCCGTCCCTTTCGGTTTGGCTAGGCGCCCCTGGGGCCGGACGGGATGGGGCGGGGTCCAGACCGGCCCGCCCCTCGCGATGCCTCGCCCCCTCACGCCCGCGCCTGCGCCGCGCGCACTGACTGGCCTCCAGTTCCCAGGCGGGAGGTAAGGGGCTCGCGGGTGGGTTCCAGCTGGGCCTCCCGGCGCTGTGGGCCCGGCACAGATCTGGTGCGTGGGAGTGGCGCTCTGTGGGCAAGCGGGGCAGCCGATGAGAAGTGCGAGCGCCATGGGGTCTCCTCTGAGCTGGAAGAAGCGGCAGAAACTCACTCAGTTTCATTTTTGGAAGAGCTGTTTGAAACGGGTATAGGGAGGCCGCAGACGGGGAACGTGATGGCTACCCTGGCTCGCAGGGTTGAAAAGTTTCCGGCGCCTTCTCCGCCCGTGATGCACTGTGGGTCGTCAGGGTCGCCGGGGTTTCGGTCCCGGGACGGGCCAGCGCATCCATTCGCTAATGGGGCGTTTGGTGTGTGTGGCCCAGGTGCGTCACGGGCGACACTGCGAGAGATGACGCGAGGCTCGGGGGTCGTGGGGGGAGGAATGAGAGAGAGAAGTCGGAGCTTCGGTCAGCCAGGCCAGGAGCTTGTTCTCAAAAGGTCGCTACATCTACCTCCCTCCTTTTACAAAAGCGGAATTGGAGGCTCAGAAAGGAAATCCTAAAGTGGAACCAAGGGTCTTGACCTTTCTCTTCAAATTCAGTGCCCTTTCCACTAGCCAGAAACACTTGGGGAAGTGCCCAAGAAAATCGAGCGCCATCAGCAAGCCGAAATGTGGCATCTCTTGGCTGATAAAAGGTCATCATCACTTTTGGAGGAGTGATATTGCCAGCGATTTTGGACTTTTTCTGGAAAATGGGGTTTTTCACGTATAAATAACCTCTAAAGTAATTTAGTTAACCTCTTAGTACTTTTTGTTTCACCGGAATCATGAATATTTATAGTAGTCATGTTAGTTGTAAGCACTAAAGGATAAAGTTTGTAAAGCACCTAGCACGGTCCTGGCACCCTTCAGTGAAAGTGTTAAGTGCAATGACTGCTTGCAGTTTTTTTCCTTATGTGAAACATCAACTCTTTACATTAAAAAAACTTTATTTTGAAATAGTTTTAGAAATACAGAAAAGTTGCAAAAATAATACAGAATTCTCTATAGCTTCTCTTTATGTAACATAACCATAATACAATGATCAAAACTAAGAAATTAACATTGGTACAGTATTATTAACCAAACTCTGGCTTTCTTCAGATTTCATCATTTTTTTGCCTTTTTTTTAATGTCTTTTTTTAAATCCCAGGATCCTACACTGTTATGTCTCCTTTAGTCTCCTTCAATCTGTACAGTTCCTCAGTTTTTTCCTGTCTTTCATGGCCTTTACACTTTTGAAGTTGTTGTTCGGTGCCATGGAGTTGGTTCTGATTCATAGCGACCCCACGTACAACAAAATGAAAAACTGCCAGGTCCTGCACCATCCTCAGAATCGTTGCTGTGTTGGAGCCCATTGTTGCAGCCAGTTTTAAGAGTCCCAGTCAGTTAATTTGTAGAGTGTCTCTCAATTGGGGTTTGTCTGATATTTCTCTTTATTAAATTGAGGTGATGGATTTTTGGCAAAAATACCACAGGAGTGTATGTGCCCTTCTCAGTTCATCGTATTGAGATGCATGATATGATTTACTGCTTGTGATGTTGACCTTGGTCACTTAGTTAAGGTGGTGACTGCTGGGATTCTCCAGTGTAAAGTTACTATTTCTCCCTTTGTAAGTAATTGATATCTTCTGGAAGAACTTTTAAATTATGCAAATATCCTCAATGATTATTACTGTGCTGCACTAATGATGATTTTCTATTTACCACATTCCTTCTTCATTTATTGATTGGAGTTCTTTAAGGAGGAGCTGCCCCTTCCCATTTATTTATTCAGTTGTGGATTTATATCATTATGGACTCGGATATTTGTTTTTCTAATAGTTGTTATGCTATACTTTTTTGTTGTGTCTCAAAATGTTCCAGCTTTGGCCCTTGGGAGTTTTTTCAGGTTCTTCCTGTCCACTGTTGATATACTCCCATCCTTTTTTTGAGAGCTTCCTTGTTTTCTGACACCATTAGGGGCCTCAGGCTCATCTTGTGTTTTCCCTGCCCCAGCCCTAGAATCTGCTTATCCAAGGACCCCTGGTTTCTTTTATTGGAGAATTGTATTTAGAAACCAAGATCTAGGCATTAGGTGTGCTTATTGCTACTGGGGTGTCTTTACTTCTAGGACCTCGCAGAAGACATTTAGAAAATATATATACCGACCCATGCATACACAAAGATCTGTATTTAGTTCTCCGTCTCTGTCTGTCTCTCGGTCTCTCTCTCTCTCTCTCTCTCTCTGTATTAAAAAAACAATTCATCCTGATACTTCTGATTCTAATCTAACATCACAGGGGTCAATCTAGTCTTCCCCTTGCTTGTAACTTCTTTCTCTGACAATGAGAAATCTCACTCTCATTTTCTACAAAGTACTTCCTTTTTGTTCTGGTGGCAAAATGGTTAAGAGCTCAGGCTAATAACCAAAAAGTTGGCAGTTTGAATCCACCAGCAGCTCCTTGAAAACCCTATGGGGCAGTTCTGCTCTGTCCTGTAGGGTCGCTATGAGTCAGAATTGACTCAGTGGCACACAACAAGAAGTATACACACACAAGATCACCTTGAGTCAGAGTTGTCTCAATGACAACTTTTTTTTTTTAAGTATACACATAATTTCAGGATTCCTAACCCATACCCCTGTGAGAAGCAGATTTTACTACCTAGAATACAGTACGGTTGTGTGCTGTTCTTTTTGTCTTTAGCCTTATAGTGTACTATTAAAATACTGTTTTCCAAAGTTACATAGATTATTCCACACTCCTTTCAGTGTGGTTATGCTATTCATTTGTAATACAGTTAAGTTCTTTTTTTTTTTTAATAGTTTGTATTCCATTTTGGATTTTCTCCACATCCTGTTTTGTTTTTAATTTATATACAGTAAAATTCACTCCTTGTGGTGTATAATTGTATGGATTTTGACAAATGCACATACTGGCAGTCCTCAGGTTATGAACTTACAACTTACAGCCAACTCATACTTGCCCTTTAATGTTATGTAAATTTACCCTCACTTTGAAACAATTGAACCAACCCCTACTGGCAGCAAAGACTTCATCACAATCATCTTCACTTGCTGCACATGCAGCTTTTAAATCATTGACAAGGCTTCCAGCCTTTTCTTGCTCTACCTGTTCCAACTTCCCTACAAATTCGACTTACAGACACAGTAAGGAATGGATGCTGTTCGTAACCTGGGGACTGCATGTAGTGTGTTGTGAATCTGTCACCACTTTCATGATACAGAACAGTCCCATCACCCCAAATATTCTCATATGCTTTTTATTTTTTAAGTGTAAAAAGTAATATAACACCTTTGCCAAAATTTGGGACATTAGACATTTTTGTGTATTTTGTCTGCTCATCTAGACATGTTTTTACACAGTTGTGATCTTAATGTCCATGCATTTTTTTATCCTCCTGTTTCAATTTTCTGACTGAAAAATCAAGAAATGCTGAAATACACTTTCACTCATTATCCAATCACACTTCTACACCATACTTTGTATATCGAGTTAGGACTTCCCTGTAACACCTTACAAACATTATTTGAACTATTTCATGATCCCAAGTGCTGTTAAACAACTTTCTGTTTCAATACCATCACCACTTATGCAATTATTTGAATGTTATTATATTCTGTTCTTAGTTTTATAAGGCATTTTATCATGATTTTATGAAAGTAGAATATGGTGGAGAGAAGGGGGGAAAAAACTCTCTAAAAGGAGACCAAGTGTTGGAAAAGTGTTTTGGGAGGTTTTGGAGGACAGAATTTCCCCGAGAGATAGCCCTTCTGAGATAGCAGCTTTTCCTTGTGTACAGAAAGCTGAAGGGCAGAGTCATGCATAACTTTAATCTAGAAATGCCACTTTTGGAACTCAAAAAAGAAAGTTATTTTAATGGCGTAAGGCAACAGTGAAAATAAGCCAAATTGCCATTGGGGATTAAGCACACTCCAACTCATTAGTGGAAGAGAAGGCAGAGTCATTTGAGTTGCATCTCAAATGATACATAAGGTTTAGAAGCGGAAGGGATGTGAAAGAGCATCCAGACAGAAGGAGCCTCATTGCAAAGCTAGAAGGACGTATTGGGAGATAATAGTTGGGTAGATGGGGTAGGTCTAATTATGAAGATTATATTTACTTGTTTAAATAATAGGGAACTACTGGAGGTTTTTGCTTAGAGGAGTAGCATGGTGCCGTTGGTTTTTAGATATTAATTGCGACAGTCTGTGGGAAAAATTGGAGAGGGAAGAGTCTAAAAGCAGGCCCTGTTGTCACTTGCTGTGCATATTGTGCTCTGTTTGACTAGAGTGAGAGGATTAGATATGGTGAAAAAGGGACGTGTGAAGAGATATTTTAGTTCAGTCAGCATCTATTGAGCGTCAAGTATGTTCAAAAATATTTTGATAGGAATGGTGGTAGATACAAATATCTTCCTATGGTATATAATCTGTATAGTAGAAGAGGCAATGTGATAAACTAGGAAACATTAATGTTAGTTATTATTTCTGACAGTCCCTCCCTGCTCCTGCCCTGGCCCCAAAGGCGTACTCTTGGACTTTGAGGAGCACTGGCAGAAAACTACTGGTAAAGTAGAGCATTTGATTATACATACTCTCAAAAGACTCAGGTTCCTATTCTTATTCTGTTGCTTGTTATTTCTGTCAGTTGTGCACAATATTAATCACTTTGTGAGAAAAGGAACAGGCAATTTAAAGGACATCAATGAGAAGAGTTGCATATTATGTTTGAAGTTTATAATTACATAGTCACATTATGATGGCATTAAAAGTAGAGTTTGGTACAAGTTATTTTTCTTAGCAGAAATGTTAAAAATGAAATTTTTTCTTGGAGTTTTACCATTTGACACCTTTTATAAAAAATGTTATTCCATGTCCAAGATATATTGGAAAATGAAAACTTAGTATATTCCTAAAAAAAACCAAACCCCTTGCCATCAAGTCAATTCCGACTCATAGCAACCCTATAGAACAGAGTAGAACTGTCCTGTGGGGTTTCCAAGGAGCAGCTGGTGGATTCAAACTGGCAGCCTTTTGGTTAGCAGCTAAGTTCTTAACCACTGCGTGACCAGGGCTAGTTTTTTGTTTTTTGGGTTTTTTTAAATGTATTTATATGCATACATCAAACCAGTTGCTGTCAAGTTGATTCCGACTCAGAGTGACGCCATGTGTGTCAGAGTAGAACTGTGCTTTGTAGGGTTTTCAATGGCTAATTTTTTGGAAGTAGTTCACCAAGACTTTCTTCTGAGGCACCATTTGTTGTTGTGTGCTGTCGAGTCAATTCTGGCTCATAGTGACCCTGTAGGACAGAGTAGAACTGCCCCATAGGTTTTTCTAGGCTGTAATCTTTACTGGAGCAGATCACCACGTCTTTTCTCCCACAGAGTGGCTGGTGGGTTTGAACCACTACACCTTTGAGTTTGCAGCTGAGTGCTTAACCATCGCACCACCAGGGCCCCTTTGAGGCACTATACATATATAGATATGTAGAAAAACGCCTAGAAAGACAGTTACCAAAATGTAAGGAGCAGTTAACTATGGATGAAGAGATGATTATTGATTTTTTTTTATTCTCTTGGCTTATCTATATTTTCTAAACATTCTTAAGTTAATAACTTTCGTAAAGAGAAAAATGTTTTAAAATAAATGGTTTCATAAAGAAAAAACAAGTCACACAAGTTTAGCAGTAAGTTGAATACCTATTTAGAATAAATTGTAAAGTTACCTAATTGTTGGCTTTTAAAAATAATGGAAACTGATTTAAAAAACATTGTTAAAGAAATATTTCCCTCTTAGGTTTTTCTACATGAGTGGCGAAGACGATTTTTGCAAGTAGAAGTGACATAACATCTTTTAAGGATGTCTGAAGATGAAGAAAAAGTGAAATTACGCCGTCTTGAGCCAGCTATCCAGAAATTCATTAAGATAGTAATCCCAACAGACTTGGAGAGGTTAAGAAAGCACCAGATAAACATTGAGAAGGTGAGCTTTTTCATTTTCTATCACAAGAAACAGTTACATAGTCGGATTTATGTTTGTTATGCATTTTAGCTAAATTTAGAATATTAGATAGGAGGCTTTGCTAAAATGTTGTTGTTGTTAGGTGCCGTTGAGTCAGTTCTGTTGCATAGCGACCCTGTGTACAACAGAACATATCACTGCCCAGTCCTGCGCCATCCTTACAGTCGTTACTATGTTTGAGCCCATTTTTGCAGCCACTGTATCAATCCATCTCATTGAGGGTCTTCCTAACTCCTATTGATTTAGCAACATAATTCCCTTTTTCAGCAAGCTTTTCTGTATGACAAATGCATTTCTCCTATATTCCTTTTGTAGGAAGGGATGTAGGGATAGAGCCTATACCTTTTTAATTGTACAAATTGAACTATTAGGCACTTACTAATTAATATACAAACTGTTTGATAGTGTACCAGGTGTGAGAGTGGGGAACTTTGGCTAAGGGACCTGACTTAATTTCATTCACGCCATGGCAAATTTTCTGAGCTTTGAATGTGTGTCTATCAGTAACTCCTGTCCTCTTCAGGTACACATATATTAAAGAAGTAACTAATTGTGTGTCATGAGGGGATTTCATTACTTCACTTCTTCCGTTTGAGGAAAGCCCTAAACTGACAAATACGCCTGAGGACCAGATGAGGAAATTGGTAGAGGGAGGAAGAACTAGTCTCAGGGACTATGATGGAGGTTGACCAGGTTGACTCAGACTGGTCAGAGTCTGGAGGAGTGGTTATGACATTTATGGGAACATCAGGTTTATTGAGTAATGGGCATTGATTTGGCAAGCTATGTTGTCTTATTTGCTGTGAGAGAGGTCAATAGTATTTACTTTTTCAAAAGGACCTCCCCAGTATCAATTTTAAGCTGTGTTGCCCTCCATTGATTTTTTTTTTTATTTTTGGAGAGGTTGGAAAGGATGTGGTCATAAAGCTTTCAGTATAAACACTATTCATCACCCGCAACTGAGTAGCTTGTACAAGTAAGAAAAGTGTCATCTTTCCCCCCTGTAAATAGCATCTGTCTTCTTAGTATTTAAGTCCTCTTTAAATAGTATAGAAAATAAGTTCCAAGAACATTAAAGTTAAAATGTCGATGCAAATATGAAGGTACCTGTAGAATTCAAGATTAGTAATTTGCCATCCTTTAATTTCTTTCTTCTTCACCCATAAAAATAAATGAAGCCATGACTCTTAAGGATGGAGAAAGAGTTGTCTGGTACATAGTTATTCTTGTCATAAATGGAAGCAAATTAAAGGCTTACATGCTTTGGTTAATGAGGGAGGCTGGTTCTTTAGCACTATAACAGTATAGAAATAGAGTTGTTTTGTTTCTTTTTAATAATATTTTGTTGTGTTTTCAGTGAAGGTTTACACAGCATTGTAGGTTCCCATTCAACAATTTCTACACAAGTTGTTCAGTGACATTGGTTACATTATTCACAATTTGTGAATGTTCTCATTATTTCTGTTCTTGTTGTTCCATTGCCATTAATCTAGTTTCACTGCTCCCTTACATTCTCATCTTTGTTTTAAAGTAATTGTTGACGATTTGGTTTCATAAAGGTGATTTTTTAAATAGAGCTGTTTTCTTTTGATTGCTGATCTCCGTGTAGGAGGTTCAATAAGATGTGTTTCAAAATCCTGAGCACATATTAAAGTGTTTAGTTACAAAGGAGACCAGAATTTGGCAGATGAATTGTCTGAGAGACAGAAATAGGTGGATTATGACCTACTAATGCCATTTCTTTCCTTTATTATCCTACTTTTACCTTTGAGGTTTGGCATGTCTTATATTTTCCTTTTCTTATATGTATTCTAAACAAGTGCCTGACCTCATTACCCTCAGATCCTAACCACATGTATCTCTCAATCAGTCATCAGTGGAAAAGCCAGAATCCTGGGAGAAAGGTAGGAAGAGGATAGGAGTCAGTCTATTACTGATTTGATTAGCTGTGCCAGACTTTAATAAGAAAATTATCCCAGAGTTATACTGATGCCTCTCTGCCAGAAGATTTTTCCTTTAGCATTTTGTGGAATTTTTACTTCCTGTAAAGTTTTTTTCTTAATTATTATGCTTTAAGTGAGGGTTTACAGAGCAAATTAGTTTCTCATTAAACAGTTAATATACATTGTTTTGTGACATTGGTTGTACTGTGAAGTTTTTTGACAATGTCAAAATAATTATAGTTAACAACGTAGGTGATATTGTCATAGGCTAAGCACGTAAACTCATACTGATGTATATTTTATTTCATAGTCATTCTACTACCTATAGGATTGCTAGTTTAATTATGCAAGAGATTTTATATCTATATAAGATTAAATAATATGTTTTAATAGATATGTTATGGCAGTGTAAAAACATTTAAACATTTAAAAGCTTCAGTGTTCACTCTGGACAAAAGAGTTAAGAACTAAGTTAGGGCTCCAGGTGTCTGACAGTGACTCACTTTCAAAAAGGCATATTCTTCCTGGGGGAAGGGTGTAGAAAGATAAAATATTTATTATGTTGGCCATCAGTCATCCAATATGAATTTTAAAGAAGAAAGTCAGACTGAAGGGAAATTGAAAGTAAGCCTTAGTGGAGTGATTGTGCAACATCAGAAAACAATGAGAGTAGTGTGCTCTGGACACCTGGGACTGTATTCCATAGGTCCTTCAGCATTACGTTTTATTACACATGGTAGACTTGATTAAAATGTAATCCTGAAATTTTAAGTGTTAGCATTCAGCTTTCTTGGCTAACGTAAGATAGATAGACTTAAGCATGGTTAATATGAATGACGAGATAGTAAGCTTGGAACATGATTTCCTTTGTTTCATATTGTAGAGACTTGAAGGAAACCTTATTGTGTAGCATGTATGGTAATAGAGTATGGTTAAGGTGCAAGTAACAGAAAACCCCAAAATAGTATATAAATAAGATAGAGGGTTGTTTGTTTGTTTTTTCTCTCTCTCATAGTAATGGCGGCCGTCTAGAGTTGGAGTGGCAGCTCAATCGTCACTGAAGACCCAGGCTCTTTTTATCTTGTTCTGCCATCCTCAACTTGTTTCTATCTTGCATATAAGATGGCTACTCAGCTGCAGCTAGCACAGCCACATTCCAGTTAGGATGGAATAGCCAGAACCATGTTTCAATTTCTAGCCGTTTTTTTCCTCTGTCTCTTTTTTTCTTTTAAAGAGAATCCTGTTCTTGTTTCACGGATAAGATTATCATCTCATCTCTCTGTGGTAGTTTTTATGTTTTTTTCTGCCTTCTTCTCTTTGTATTTCCTGAGTACCCTTTTTTCTTTCTTTATTTCTTTTTTTTTTGGTCTCAGTTTATCATGTTATAGGCTTTCCTGGATGGCTGTTGATGTTTTAGAGTGCTAACTGGAAGGTGTGTGTGTGGTGTGTAGGTGTGTAGCAAGGTAGTAATGGGGGCCTTGCTGCCTGGAAGGGTAAACAGGTGAGGATCTATTTTAATGAAGAACCACCAGATGTCAGTGTCTGTAGGTCTTATTAGCTATTCCGTTTCCAAAGAGAGCAGTCCTCCAGTCTTCTACCCGTTAGGGTGTTATTTTGTCAGAGGTGGTAGTTGTGGCAGGTGTGGGAGTATGGCGAGTGAGGGTGGGACATAGTATAAATTTTTCAACTAGCAGGGAAAAGAGAGTAAGTGGGGAGGAGTGCAGGCTCCCTTGCCATTCAAAGATTCCATGTCCAGACTTAATTTTTCTGGTGCGGTACTGTGTATCTGATCCCTGCCCTCAGCTGTGTTTGGTGTTCAGGAGTCCCAAGCTTCTCTAGTTCAGCCCCTCCAGAGGCTGTGTCCTGGGGTGTTGTCTTCCATCAAGACTGTAATCTCTTCTACATCTTCCTTGACAAGTAAGCAAGTAATAATAATAGCAAAAGTAGGAGTTGTTTTCAGTTGTTGAGTGCTGTTTGGGGTTTTACATATATCATATCGTTTAACCCTCACAACATCCTTATAGGCTGGGTATTATTATTGTCTTCATTTTTTAAGTGGCAAAGCAGACTTAAAGTGGTTCAGTTACTTGCTTGAGGTCACTGTGTTAGTAAATGTGTTAAACTTCTAATATTATGCTTGTTGTGCTCCTAATAAATATATGTTGAATGAATGAATAAATGTATACAGGCATAGAGCCTAACATTGCATCGGTTGTTTCAGAAGCCACTTTATATTGCTGGCTCTCTTTATTGGCTTTGTAATCAACTGAATAAAATCCATAGGACTTTTTTACATGAACTGCAGCTGTTGAGCCAGATCATGCCTATTTCTTGTACTTGTACAATTGCTCTTCTAATTTTAATACTAGGTTCTACACTTATCATTGTTAGGTTTGTTCTTTCTATCATGTGGAATGGCAGTCTTTCATCTATGTTAATTATTCCCTCTATTTATTGTTATCTACAAATGTGATAATTGTACATTCTTTGTTTCCAAGTCATTGATGAAAATGTTGGACAGGAAAGGGGCAGAGCACAGTGGTAGACTGTCACCATTTCTGTCTCAGATATCATCTCTCTAACAATCTAGTATAGAATTTTCCCAAAGATTTACAATAAGATCTACAGCCTGCAGTGTTTTAAATACACTTTCTTTAGTGAAAATTGGGTCAATATTTGCTGGTCTCTGGGAGCTTTTCCAGTTCTCCACAGTTCCTCATAGATAAGCAAAATGTTTCTGTGATCACATTTGCAAAGTCTTTTGGTTCACTCAAATGTAATTTACCTGAGCCTGTTGACTTGAACTCATTTGAAGATCTGGGTTTGCTGTTACTCTTTTTTGGCTTTCATTTTCTTCTTAATTGTGTTTATGGTATACTTTTCTATTTGAAGATCATTTTTCTCATTAAAGATGAAGGTAGAAGAAATATGGAGTTAAATAGTTTTGCTTTCACTCCTACGTCTGTTAACAATATCTACCGTACCATTTGTCAGCTTTCAAACATTGCCTACTGATCAAATCCCAGCTCACTTACTCCCTGTGGAGCGTGCCCTGATTGATTTCATCCCCAGTCAGAGATAAACACGCCATCTTCACACAGCGATGTGCAGCAGACCTTAAGGTTCACAGATTTAATATTCTCCATTTTAACCATTCCTGGGACAGCTGTAAATGCCCACGATCTTTAGAGAGTTGTAATGGTAAAATTAAAATCTTCCTCATAGGGCTATTGTGAGGCTTGATTTTATATGGGGTGGGGGGAAGCCCTGCATGCAAAGTTGATACTTAGAAATGGATTACTTAGCAAGCATTTATAGTGACACAATTTCCTTAACAACAATAAACAATTGCTGTGCTATAACTAGTAGATCAATAGATAATGATCACTAATTTAAATGTGTGTAATACTTATTATAGTGGTTAAGAGCTACAGCCGCTAACCAAAAGGTTGGCAATTCAAATCCACCAGCCACTCCTTGGAAACCCTATGGGACAGTTCTGCTCTATCCTCTAGGGTCACTATGAGTAGGAATCAACTGGACAGTAACCAGTTAATACTTATTTTATGGTTTATTGTTGGTAAATGAAGATTATTATTGGTAAAAAAAAAGTTAGTTGTTACATAGTGATCTGAATCATAATCAAGATACTTGTAGATTTAAATTGGTAAAACTCAGTGATACCATTCTAGTACAGTAAATAAAAAGAAAAAATATGAATTACAGTATGATACATCGCAGTTAGCCAATGTACCGATACTAATAGGGGTAGAGGTTAGTGAAAAGTTTACAGAGGATAAGTTCTTCGTTAGTTTTGGTAACCTTATCAAATGAGGGATGGCTGAAGGACGTAGATGTTGGTAGTCTAAAAAAAGAGAAGTCTAGTTCTAATACCAGTCTTAAAATTTCTGAAGGGCTGTCGTGTGGAAGAAGATTAGGCTTATTATATGTGTCTCCAAGGTCAGAAGTAGGACCAGTGGTCAGAAGTTAACAAGGAGATGGTTTTGGCTCAGTACAAGGAAGAATTTTTCAGCACTTTGTTATTAATGCAACAAATGCACATCATTAGTAGTGTTTAAATAGACGCTAAATAGCTATCTTTTTCTGATAGTATCTTGTTCTTTTCTCATGCTTTCAGATGCTTCATTTTTATCTTTAATTATTTTAAGTATGCATTTTTTTTAGTCCCTTTCCAATACTGTAAATCTGAAGTTCAACTTAGTTGGTGGGAGTTCTTGTTATACTGACTCTTGCTCATAACAGATTGTTTCTCCTTGTGTTTTATAATTTTGGATTGTAAGCTCTTATTTTGTAGGGCTGTATTTGTGGGAACGGTGTGTCAAGGGTAAGAGGTCCCTGGGTGGTGCGAACGGTTTGTGCTTGACTACTAACTCAAAGGTTGGCAGTTCGAAAGGGTTAAGTTAGAGGTTTGTCCCAACAGGATAGGAATTGGATTTGTTTCTGCTGTGTTCCCCAGGACTAATCAAGGGATAACTTTTCAAAATAACATCCTAATTTAGGGGATCCTGGATCTTACAAGTGGCATGTAAATTTATACCCTAAACACACATAAGATAGGTATGAGGTTTCTAATTCTCAGGAGAGACTTCTTTGTTTTGACAAAGAACCCAGACCAAGACAGACAAGGTTTCTTATTGCCTCCCCATACTATCAATCAAAATAAAAAGTCTCTCCTTGTTTTTTAGCACATCCTTTTTCTGAGCGTGCAGCCCTACATAGATCCTAGCTTTCTACCAGAAAGCTAAATTCCAATGCCCCACGTCTTTTAGGCCAAAGGTTTCATCTGTTGTCTTCTTGTGGCTTTTAAAAACTCAAGTACCTTGGTTATAAGACCTGCAGCATCCTTCACCCTCTTACCCTTCCTCCTGGTAATTGAAAGCTGCAGCATTGGTTCAGGTTTACTGCTCTGGCATTCAGTCCCATCTTAATTTTTGATCTGTGGGCGTTTTCCCAAGGTTCTTGCAAACACAACTTTGTATTTAAGAGGATGTTGATTTCTAGGAATTTTGTGGCAGGAGGGAGGATTTCAGTTTATTTTACCTGTTATATTGCCAGAAACAGAAGTCAAGACTGGATAATTATAAAGATGCTATAAAGAAGATTTCCTGCGATAATTCATCTGTAGAACAAATATGTGTGATTGCCTGCTGCAGTCCTCTAAATAACAACACGAGGCGGGAAGATAATCACTATCAGCCCAAAGCTGATTCCTATGAGGTGGAGGTCAGACTACCTCCACTCTCCAACCTTTTTACCAGTTCTGATACCAGCAGTCCCTCCCACGACACTCTTTTCTTTTCTGCTGGGTTCAGTAATTTGATGCAGTGGCCACACAGAACTCACAGACCATACTCAGGTTTGTGGGGTTTACTAGGGAAGTAACAGGTTACAACTCAGGATCAGGATCCACTTGGAAGTAACAAGAACAACTCAGGAGGCAGGCTACAGTTTGTCAATAAGGACAGCTTCCAACTAAGAGTCCTCAACTCCTTCTCAGCCATACCCACAAGACAGTCTGTGTTTGAGCCCCTGTCGCTGACCTCTGCCCTGCTTGAGCAAGTGTTATGGCTTTTTAGCTCCCCTGATAAGTGCCTGGAGGCACCCCACTCTGCCAGGAAGCCTCCTCCGCAAAGGCATAGCTCACTCCTCTGTGGGATGGCAAACCCACTGCAGCCATCTGCTGGGCCTATGCTGCTGCCATCTTGTGCCGCCTCCAGTGGTACAGTTCTCTCTTTCTCCTGGGTCTAGGAGGTTCTCAGCACAGGGACCCTGGGTCCAGAGAATGGGCTCTGCTTCCAGCTCTTCTTCTTGATGTTAGTGAGGTCCGCCTCAACCTCTGTGGAAGTGGCACTTTAAACCTAGCAGGATGGCACAACTGACCAATCTCCTTGGTAGGCCACAGGCAGCTTATTTGCATAGTCACTGTCCAATCCCTTCCAGGGTTTTACACACCTTATTTGCATAGTCCCAGCTAGTCATTTTGTGGGAGTTATAAGACCATGGCTAGAAAGGCCATATAAAAGCAATTCACTGCACTGTACCTGCTCTGTGCCAGACCCCAAGCTGTAGAAATGCAGTGGTGAGTGAAATAGACATAGCCCCTACCTTCTAGAAGTTCAGATTTGAGTTAAGGGAGACATGTGAAATAGTTACATGAATACACAGTTTATGTAACTGCTCAATTCAGTTCTAGTTGAGTATTCCCTGGCTTTCATTTATCTTTGTGCACTTTCCAATTAAATCTGGCAGGACAGATATATAAGTCTTTATATGCCCTAAAAGAAAGGTCAAATATCTAGTCTCTAGGTACATCTTGAAACCTTATCTTATTATTCTCCAAGTTAGCTGCCACTACCAAGTTACTTTCTTCTTTAGCTGATATGTTTAAGTTTGAGTAGGTGAGTGAGAATTTTGTGGTAAATGAAACTATTCACATTAGTGACGAAGAATTCAGTATTTTTTCCTCTCTTTTGTATAGTATCAAAGGTGCAGAATCTGGGACAAGTTGCATGAAGAGCATATCAATGCAGGACGTACAGTTCAGGTAAGGATATTTTGTTGTTTCTGGTAAATCGCTATGAAAAAAACAGCCTTAAGAAAGTTTTGCTAAAATAAATACCTGTGTAGCTGAATCTTTTCACGCTTATTTGTGGCTATTTTCTTAAGGATGCATTTCTGGCAGGAATTACTGGATAAAATGTCATGTATATTTTTAAGGTTTTGATTCATATTACCAAATTTTCCTCCAGAAATGATACATCAGCTTATACTTCACCATCAATGCATTTCCCAAAAACCTTACCAACAATACTGGTATTATCGATTTTTCAAAGTTTCACAGATTGGTAGGTTAAAATAATGTTACTCTATTGTTTCAATCTGGATTTTTTGTTGTTGTTGCTTTGACAGGTGAAAGTTTTTTTCATACGCACCTTGGATAGTAATATTTCTTTTGTGAATTGTCTGTTCTTGTCCCTTGCATATATTCTCTTATGCTGCTGTCTTTTGTAAGAGCTTATTTGAAAATAGTGATTTTCTGTCTATAACATGTATTGTAAATATTCTTTGTTAATTATTTTAAATTAATTTTTTAAAATAATATTTTTACATAGCTTAAAAACCTAAATACAGTTTAAAGACTGATAGTGCCTACCCTTCTCTGTCTCCAAGTCCTGCTTAGAAGAAACTTTTGTGAATGCTTCTGGCCGTTTTCCCCAGTATTTACCTCCTTATTCCTGAACGCCATGTGTAGACTGGTGTTTCTTGATGAATCAGATTTGGGCATCATCTCTTCACTTCTTGCTATGATAGGTAGAGAAGAGACAGAACTTTCCATACTGCCCTCCTACTTCCCTTTTCCCTGTATAATTACATATGTTACAATTTTTGGTTAAAGTAGTAATTGTTGTTGTTAGGTGCCATTGAGTCAGTTCTGACTCACAGCGACTCTGTAGGACAGAGTAGAACTGCCCCATAGGTTTTCCAAGGAGTAGCTGGTGGATTTGAACTGCCAACCTTTTTTTTTTTTTTTTTTTTTTTGGATCTTTTATTGCCAACCAGGGCTCCATAGTAGTAATTAAGATCTCATCATTATTGATGATGAAGATATGTTTCCTACTAAGCCAAATAGTGAGATACAGTACAGATCTTTGCTTTCTCTGAGGTTAATAATTGCCTTTTTTTTTTTTTTTAAATTACCTGGCTTTCTGTGTATTTGTAGTTAATTTTTTTCTGTAAATACTCCACATCTCTACCACATGGTATCAATAATATTTTTCTTTTTCATATTCATATGTTCAAATAAATCGATTCTACTCTTTATCCTGAAGACCTCCCTCCTGAAGCTCTTCTTCTTCCAGTTCCAATATATGAACTTGCTCTTGAGGTTTGTTGCACAGCTGCTGTTAGGGAACTTCCCTTAGCTGCTCCTCTGTGTTGGATCCCCTTTTTCATGGATAGCATGCCTTCTTCATTTTTGGTTTGCTCCATTGTTTTGTTGGAGTACATCCCTCAGTACCTCTCTTAGTATTGGTACCTTGGAGGTAAAGTTTTAAGCCATTGTGTGTCTGAAAAATACATTCATTCTCCCCTCACATGTGATTGCTAATTGCTCTAAGTATAGAATTCTAGTTGGAATTCTCTTTCAATTTTGAAGGTTTTCTAGTTTTTTTAGTGTTGCCCTTAAAAAAAACTGACTCATCTGATTTCCTAGTCTTTGGGGGGACCTTTTTTTTTTTTTTCCTTTGGGAGCTTTTGTGGTATTCTGTTTGTCCCTAATGTTCTGAAATTTGATGATAATGTACATTATGTTGGGCCTTTTCAAACATAAAGATTTATATTCTTTGTTCTGGGGAATATTCTTAAATTATTTGATAGTTTCTTTCTTTGTATTTTCTCTTTGCTCTGTTTTTTGTTTTTTTGTTTTTTTTCCACTTGGATCTTTTATTGCAAGGATCAGCAAACTATGGCTTATAGGCCAAATCTGCCCCCATTTATTTATATATTGTGTTTGGCTGCTTTCACACTGCAATGGCGGGCTTGAATAGGTGTGACAGAGACCTTATGGCTCCCAAAGCCCAACTGTTTACTATCTGGTCCTTTACAGAAAAAGTTTGCCAATTCCTGTTCTGTTGGATGTTGGAACTCTTTGATTATCTGATTTTCTTTTTTCTAGAAGATTTCCTCAGCTTTATCTTCAAATCTTTTTACTGAATTCTTTATTTCTGCTATTATGTTATTTAATTTTCCAGAGCTTTTTCTTGCTCCCTTTTCCTTTTGCCGTAGCAGTTTGTCTATGGATGTAATGTTGTCGTTTTTGTTATTTGTTGTTGAGTAGGTTCCAACTCATAGTGACCCTATGTACATCAGATGAAACACTGCCCGGTTCAGCACCATCCTCACAATCATTTTTATGCTTGAGCCCGTTATTGCAGCCACTGTGTCAGTCCATCTCATTGAGGATCTTCCTCTTTTTCCCTGACCCTCTGCTCTACCAAGCATGATGTCCTTCTCTAGGGACTGGTCCCTCCTGATAACATGTCCAAAGTACGTGAGACGAAGTCTTGCCATCCTTGCTTCTAATAAACATTCTGGCTGTACTTCTTCCAAGACAGATTTGTTTGTTCTTCTGGCAGTCCATGGTATATTCAATATTCTTCACCAACACCATAATTCAAAGGCATC